AACACAAAAAAGTAAATCATCACTACTCACTAGGAAGCAGGGCAATAAAGTTATAAATATCTTATTACAGGTTGATAGTAAATTTGTATGTTAAAATCTGCTTCAGATAGTACTACATTTTTTTGACCACTCTTCATATATGTTTCTTTCAGGAACATAACTAATTGTAAACATAACTCAGTATCAAGCAAGGAGGCAGAAATCAATAGCAAATCAGACAGTTGCAAAGATCAAAATACCAACGTGGTTTACTATGAACCAGTTACATAAAAATTCTGCAATTAATATCCTCATAAATATGTTTTAAGTATAACTAAACTAGTATGAAATTTAAAATTTTGTTATGAGTGGATATCTAAAAAAAAAGAATCTTAATATATGCAGTTTTAAATCACTGTATTAATTTTGAAATTCCACCTGGTGCAACACATCAAAGGAATTTAAAAAACAAAATAAAGTTTGTTGAGTAAGAATAGGCTTGCAGTATAATTTGAAGCTCAAGCATGTGCCCTGACAAACAGCTGTAGGGGAAAAAAAAGAGTTCTCAAAGGCAATGACCACCACAGACAAGTTTTTCACTATTGTAACATTCCACAGGAAAAGCAGCAGCCTCTTAAATAACTGGATTCTACATTATACAATAATTAAACACCTTTCACATATGAAAATGTCCTCTATTTCTAAATCTACCTAATAATCACTTCTCCCTATTCAACATCTTTCCCATGATTATATGTATAAATGCTAAGAAAAATGCCTTCACCACAATTCAGCTAGTTATGAGTAGATTTTAATATCTCATTAAGATGGGTCATTATTTCAAAGAGACACTGCTGGAGATTAGCTGAATGATACAATATATAGCATTGACTCAATTGGCAGCAGTATTTTCTTTGGGTCTAGAACAAGGTAATATCCTATGCAAGAGTTAAAATGCTTTGATCCACTCTGTCATCCCAAAGAATGTCTTTTATTAATGCAACAGAGATGCCTGCCAGGGTTTTCTTATCATCAGAATCAATGCTGCTAAAGCTGCTATATTCCAGATGTGACAGAACACTCAGGTTCTATTTTTGTTCACTGTGGAGCCCTTTTTACAAGAAAGAAGGTAATAGCTCTTCAGACTTGGCCACCTAACTTTTTATTACTATTTCTATTGAAGAGTTTCCTTCTTTCCTCTCACGCCGTATTGCTGAGCTCAGTTCAGGGGTACTCACATTTCTCTGCTCACTCTGCATCACCAGTGGCCATATAATTCCTATAAATAGGACTCGATCCTGAAGGTCCTACTCACAGATGTAAATATATGTAAGTGTTTGATGAGACTGGTACTGTCTAATAAGTCTGTAAAACACACAGACATTATGGAACTGTAACATATTATTATAAAACATTTACATACTCAAAGACTGCAAAACAATAGGATTTCCTTACTATGACATACTTCCCTCCCACACTTGCAAGCAAAGCAAATTAACATATCATCATACTTCATACTTTGAAACTAACATCAGCTCTTTAATACAGTTCATAAAGCACAATAAAACGAAGTAGTCAATCTTAGCAATAAGTTAAAATAAGTGTAAAATAAGTTCCTTATTAAACCCATCTGACATATGGATTGACTTTTCAAATAATTAAAGGCTTAATATGTTCGCCATTTACAAATCAAAATCAACTGGCATGACAGGCTATAAACCTGGAACTTGATCTTGCACTGGTGAAATAAAAAGGAAATACCTTCCACTTTTGCGTTGAGAATGTCAAAACCAAGGCTCTGAATGGGCAAGGCCTTGGAGATATTACCATATTCAGTACATTACCATTATTCCCTGTTAACCACAGCTCCTGTTTCTAAAACCTAAGAAATGAGACTGGATAGATCTTCAGTTTGTATGTTTTGTTAATACATTGTAAAGCACTGGTTCGTCAGGGAAGCAGAGTAACCACAGTAACCCCTAATTTTCTATAAGAGTAACAGTGTGGTACATGACTGGAGCAGTCATGCAGCTCCTCCCCTTGACTCAGAAGTTTCCAGATGTTTCTGTTTTCAAAGTTAATAGCTGTTGAGATGATTACCTTAAGTATTTTAACATCTTAAAGGTTATAGTAAAATTGTATTTATTTCATTCTTAAAAGTCTTCCACATAACACACCAGGTAAAGCATAAAATAGTTGCACGTTTTGTAATAAACTCAAGCTAGGCTATGGAAGAGATGTGTTTACACCCCTTTCATGTGTCAATAAATGTACAATCACTATTCAAAAGCAAAGTTTCTGAACTGATAGTACTTATAAAGGGTCGTATTCATTTGAGATCAAGAACTGTTTTTGATTTAACTTCAAACATTCAATCTAGTACTTCTTCCTCACATTCTCATTCCATTTTAAGTTTAGTTGATTTGGCCCCATTGAACCTGAAGCGAGTTTTGCAATTAACGTCCTAAACCTCATTCCCATTACTCTAACAACTGTTCTCCTCATTTTCCTTCTGTTTATGTCCAACCTCTATGTCCTTATACTTCTGTTTATTCCATGCGGATATCACCTACATTTCCCCCTGCCTGATATTTCCTCTGCATTGTCATTTCTCTCTTTAAAAAAGCTTAAAGAAAGTGAAAGTATATAGGGGTTTGAAAAATCTCATGATGTGGGATAGAGGAATAGAGTAGACTGATGGTTTTCAATCCATTTTTGGACTCTCAGAGCCTTACAAAGTTTTTCTTTAGAGGCAGTACCTAGTAACAAATTTAAATCTACTGACAATACGGCGGGTTGGGGATTTTATTATTAATCAACTGACATGGCCTTGCCAAAAACAGTCTGTGGAGTCCCAAAGGCTCCTATATCAAATGTTAAAGACCACTGAACTAGATCTTGAGTTATGGAAGGAACTTCTCTGTAATTCTGTGACGCACCCATCTTATGTTAAGTAATTTCAGACTGTTTATCTGTTCAGCAACATCATAAAGCACTAAATCACAAGGAAGTTTGTATTTCCACTCTAATGCATAAATTCAAAATTTTCTATTAATATAACAATGATTTATTTGTAACAAACAACAAAAATCTTTCCTAAAAACCCACATGCATGAAATTTACATCTCAAAGATATTTCAAACAATTTCTAATAAATCCTGGTTAGAAGAATGCTTTTAAGAAATTTATTTGTACCTAAAAACCCCCAACTTTAAAAATAATTATCAACTAAATGCAGAATCATGATTATCCCAACTCCAGCTCCTAATAACCTCAAGCCATAAAAAAGCCTCAGCATAAAGAATGAGGTGCATTTCTATGTTCCAGAACAAGAAAAAAAAAAAAACCAACCTGCTAGCACTTGCATATAGCTGAGCCTATGCTTTTAAACAAGATATGGGACAACCTCTGTCAGGGGCTGTGCTTGTGTCATAGCTTCCATGTTCAACACAGTTATACTATGCAATTTGAATCACTGGGTTTGGGTTGGGGGCAGTTTTCAGTTTTTTAAAGAATAAACTCTTGGAAAACATTCAGGATTTATCAAAGTAAATTCAAGATGACCTCACTAAGATCACTGGCTGAAAACTTTAGACACTTACTAAAAATACCTCTGAAAAGAGTGAGCTAGAAAACACCACTTTATGTTATTTTAATCTATTCTTTTAAAGGCATAAGGGTTTTGCTCTCTGCTCACTTATCTACCTCCCGACAAACTGGTGCCTTCACCACCAGACTACAGCTGTGTTTTCTCTCTGCCTTTTTTAGTATTCCTTTCTCTCGGATTCAGTAGGAGAAATGTAAGACAGCTCCCATCTCAGCCTTCCTACAAGGCCAGTTCAAGAGAAAGCAAGGTCTAGTGTGAAATGCCAGCAGATGCATAACTGCTCAGCCTGTCCCACGTAACTCACAAGCCTAAATGCCAAGCCAGGCAACAGCAGTAACAAAGTTATAGCTTCTTGGACCTCCAAGTAAACCTGTACTCTTGTCAAAGCATCTTACAGGGAGGGAATGGTTCCTTCCAAACTAACCTTAGAATTCACACCTCCTTCCTGAGAAGGCATTGTAAGTACAGGACAAGTACCTCCCAAACTCTCCATGAAACCATAATAAAGCAGCCCAGAGAAGCATATTAAACAAAGACTTCAGCAGAACTAAAATTTAACTAACAGTGATTTGTGGTGATTTTCAAGACCGATCGGCTTAAGTTATCATTCAAAATCATACACAAAGCAGTAGTTTATAAAAATGCACTGATTTAGACACCTTAAGCTAAAGTAATTTCAGGCTCTGAACTCCAGTATCAAATAAATACCTCAATCTGGGATGCCATTAGATGCCCAACTCTAAAAGAATAAAGCAATTTCTGACATATCCCATTTTAAGGATTCCTTTATCAGTTACCGTGGGAGTCTCCCCTCTCTGCACAATGCCTAAACTCTGCTTTTAACATTTCACTTCCACCATGCATTATTCACAGAGGTTACACACCACAGTCCCTCTGTACACACGGATCCCAAACTTCATTACTATCTGAAAACTATCATGAACCCTTCTGGAATTAAAAATAAAAGTAGTAGCTTGGCCTATTTCAAACACTTGGCCCTACAGGAAAGGGAGGTCAGATAAATGAAAAGCTAATTTTTTTTCATATTTAGCATATTCCTGACTACAGGTAAGGTCACATAAATTTATCTTCAAGTTTTTAATTTACAGAAAAGATCCAGTAAGCAAGTGGTAAACAACAGCAAAAAGTGTTTATAACTATCTCACTGCTGAAAAACAGCACTATCAAGTGGCAGCGATGAAAGTGTTTTAGCAAGATTATTATTGCCAACAATATGACAAATTACAAAATTACCAAACTACAAAATGGTAGTAAGACAAAAAATAATCTAGCATGTCAGTTCCAGATATATTGGAAATGCTTAAATACATACAAACCTAGTAAAATTCAGTCCTGAGAATATGTCTTAACTCTGAGGGGTTGGGTGTTCTTTTTGGATGAGAAACTCACTTACCCAGATTTCAAGTCTGTAATCCGTAAACAATTAGTAGCATCCAGTCCTACTTTTCCATTTCTGACCACACTGGAAATGAAGGGTGAGAGCGCTGGAGAAATTCTGTTCAAGGCAACCTCAGGTGACATTTTAGTATGCTCCTTCCCTTTTGTCTTGAGCTGCACAGGGATGGTAAAGGGAAAAATAATATAAAAAAATATTCTACTTATTTGATGTCAATTCACGTGCACTCTGCAAACATCAAAGGAAAAAAGCTAAGCATGCAAACGACCAGAAATGTAGAGTAACTGCAGTGTGCACAGGTTTATAAAGAAAAAATAAACACAGGCAATTTTTTTTCTCCTATCTCTGCAACATTCAATGAAGGCCATTTATTCAATGTCAAGATAAAAACAGACTTATGTCCTAGGCTCCTTTAATTAAGATCCTATCTTTATGAGAAAAGAAATAAAATTGAGGGCCATTCTGACACTTCGCAGCCAAGCCCTTCTTGTGAGCATTGCCATTAGGAGTCTGTAATTGACAAGGCACATTTGTTCTGCTTCCACTGACATCAATGGGACTTCCATTACTGATCGCAATAGGACCAAGGGTTTGATTATTTCTCTATAGTCTTCATTTGTAATTTCTAATACCACTAGCATAACCAAAATCAGTATTGCTTTTACGTTACTTCATTAGCTATTTACAGCGTTTCACGTTGCCTTTTAAAGGCTAACGCTGCTTTTCTTTCAGCGGTATCACCATACTCTTTGAAAGGCATCTTCATTCACTGATCAGGAAACTAACATACACATATTTTAAGCATAGTTTTTTCAGAAGTGCTTGCAATTGCATGACCTTATGCTAAATCAGTTAGGCCACTAAAAACACTTTAAGAACCTGCTGCTTTTTAGCTGAAATACAGAAACTGAGCACACACATATTTTAACTTATTGCACCACAAAAAGGCTAGAGAATGTGGACAAAAACAGACTGTGGTAGGAGAAGTAGGAGAGAAGAAAAGTAACCTATTAAAATGCTAACTTAACATATTTGATCATATTCTTAGGCACAGATGTTCATCTGAAAATTAACTAACTTGACAGTTTCAGAAAACAAAGCTGTAAATGGCTCAAGGTAACATAAACGTGCCACTAACAAGTGGGGCAGAAGTGCTCATACTTAAACTTTGACCATTAGAAGATTATTTTTTTTAAAATCCATTTAATTGCAAACCGCCAATACATATTTACTTCCTTACAAAATGCTGCATATGGACTGCTGTATTAAGTGTTCAATAACGAGAGTGTGAACAACTCATGGCAATAGCTGCAGTTTTCTGTTGCTTCTAACACTCAGTTTACAAGCATTAGTTGGTAACTAATGGATATTCTACAAATTGGCAATTCCCTGTAACTAGTAGTAACATTAAAGTTACACATTTTGGTCTCATGAAGGTCATTCACACTGAAGTAGTATGAAGCAATGTTCAAGAAAAGAGTATTTATCCTAGCTATTTGGAATGTATCTGAATAAAGCAAAGGTCAGGCACGTTAAGGCAAACAAAGACTAATAAAGTAAGACTTCCTAAAAATAATAATAATCTTTAATACACTGGTTCTTACATTTTATGGCAGTAAAGAAGTTGGAGACTAAATATCTACGTCTTAACATATAACGTGTTCTCTTCCCATATACAATTTGCCATAATTGACAACAGGCAACAACTGAAGTTTGCTTAGCAAACATCTACAGCAATTTAAGATGTTACCTCCTGTTTTTTTTACTTTTCTACCAAAAATTACTGCCCACTCACCTTGATTCTTCCCTAGATGAACTGAGAGAATGGAAACCCAGATGTGCCCTATTTCAACGCAAAGTCCAACAGCTTAGATTGAACAGCTAATGAAAGGAGTTTAAACTAAAACGGTACTTTGCACAAGACAGGTTAAAACAGGGCACACATTTCAGCCTGCCAGCTCCACTGGAGGGAAGAGGAATTTCAAGCAGAGGGGCAGCGGGACTCATAAAAATAAGAACTTCTTAAACCATTAAAAACATGCTGAAAAACAAGCTATCCTTCCAGCAATCTGAAGGTTATACACAACGATCTCAGAATTGGTTCTGATAATGCCTCATTTTAAGGGGACTGTAAGTGTTATGAGGGTAGAATTGGGAGACATAAGAGATACACATGGTGATCAAAGGTGAACAGATACACCTTTCAAAATGAACTGTAGGATGAGATTCCTTATCTTTTTCTTAATAAAATATGTAGATATTGTCAACACAAGATGTAAAGACTGCTAGGCATTTTTCCTGGTTTTATTGCATCGTTTCTTTAAGATCCACACCACCTTCTACATAACATGCCAGATACACAATACTTAAAGGGTCACTATCAATTAAACTCACCGATTTATTTTGTAAACAAAGGTCTTTACAAACTATAACACAATTAGCACCACTTTCATAAGTTTCAGTTGTCATACACCTGTTTTTTCCCCCAGCTGAACTTTCCCACAGTACTGGAAACAGAACACAAACAAACTCAAGGGAACTAACAAAAACAAAATTCACTAGACCGTTTCCCTCCCAAAACAAAACATTTGAAAGAAGTAAACAAACTTAATAGTTGAATCCTTTTAGATTCAGCAGCCTATCATAACGACTTCAGGCAAATGTAACATATGCTTCACAGTAACCATAAAAGCCCAGGCATCACTTCGAGCACCAGAGAGTGTCCGGATGCAAAATATTCTGTTCCTCCCTCACCAGTGATGACATTAAATGGGCATTAAGTGAAGCTCTAAGGCGGCAAAGGTGAATATTGCGATGGAGGCCTTGAAGTGCGAGGGAACCTTTCCTCTCCAACCCTCTCAGCCTGGCTGTCGGCAATCTGGGTTTGTGGTTTTCACTTTGAGGGTGGCTGTAACAGGTGTCTGCGCGTGGGGAAAAGAGGGGACCCACGACCACCTCCACCACCCG